CCTTAAAACAATCTTAGGATCGACCTGCCCCCCCCCCCCCCCACACGACCGATCGGCCCACAGTGGGGATGTGCAGTGTACATGCGTTTCTGCCCCATTGCCCCTGATCAATACGAATTCGTATCATCCCACTTAAACCCGCATCCCCCACCCTCACCCTCTGCAAAAATACCATGCGCCCACACTCGTTTATCCAAAACCAATTGTAAAGAACCCCTTTGCCAAAAAAGGGGATGAGATGCACACGCGCGCGTCGTCGCGCGCGCACATGCCAAAATCCTGTTTCAAACCTTGGGTGTCGTACGGCCGTCAAAAATGAGCGAAGCGAAAACACGTTTAACGCATGGTTTCGCAACAAGGATTTCCAAATAAGAAACAAACAACCATAACACACAACAGAAAAACGCTTGCGTTCATGCTGATGTTTCGAAACATGTCAAAAGCAAACGTCGCTCGCGCCCACGCATACATTCCTTCCAGACAAAATATAGGGTTATTTTTTAAAACATGTGCATAACATGCTACCAAGCTGACCTCTCGAGCGCGCATGTCGGAATCAGTCGAACGCCCTTGCGCGCGCGCTGTCGCAGGAACCCTTTTGCAAAAAGTGTGACGAAGTACGCGCGCGCGTCGTCGCGCGTCGTCGCGCGCACATGCCGGATTGTTGCTTAAAAGAACCTTGGGTTTCGTAGGGATGTCAGAAACGAGTGTCCCGAAAGCATGCAAAAATTGTGGTCTTGCAACTTCAGTCTACCAAAATAGAAAACATCCTTTTTTGTTTAATATTGTCATCAAACTCTGCCAAACAGGTCTGTCGCGTCGCATGTCGAACTCATCCAAACGTCTTTGCGCGCGTGCTAGGGGGGCACGGTTCGTGTCAAGCCATACCACGCGGGCCACTCGCGCGCGGCGGCCGCGAGCGCATGTCGAACACCGTCCAAAACCTTCATCACCGGCGCGAGGACAACGTCATCGTCATCGGCGGGCGCGATCAGGATCGGCGCCGTCATTGGCCTTGCCGGCGTCATCGCCACCAACGTCACCATCATCACTAATCCCATCATCGTGTCTACCGTTGTTGGCGTCGCCATGATACCGCGCCCGCCCAAGTCACAAACTCGCACTGACATGCTCGGTGGGAAGTGCCCAGCGACCAGCGCCACCGCGGCCGCGTCGGTCGCGCCGCACTAGCTGGCCACTGCGCGCGCGAGCATGCGCGGGTTAGCGCGGCCGCAGATGCACAAGCCAACGCACCAAGCACTCATCGCAATCGCCGTCGAATGGGTTTCGCACGCCTAGTTGCGGGTGGGTGGGTGGCACGATTGCGCGAGCAGTGGAGTTGACATCTCATTGCGAGCATCTGGTGAATTGCACCACATGGAATGCACCACGCAAATTGCACGGCATAGGCTGCACACCATAGATGGCACCGCATAGACTGCACAACATAGATAATACCACATGGGTTACACTGCTCAGATTGCACGGCATAGGTTGCACAATCTAGATGGCACGACATATATTACAACATATAGACTGTTCAGCGTGGATTGCACAACATAGATTGCACACCATTGATTGCACCACATAGACTGCACACCATACCACGCAAACCCTGCCACTGGGGCCTTCGGTGGAGCTCCCTATGGGGCCACGAAGCGTGTGAGGGGTGTGCCAGACTGGGTGCGGCGGCGCCATGCGAACCCTGCCACTAGGGCATTCGGTGGAGCTCCCTCTGGGGCCACGAAACGTGTGAGGGATGTGCCGAAATGGGCGCGGTGCCGCCATGCGAACCCTGCCACTGGGGCCTTCGGTAGAGCTCCCTATGAGGCCACGAAACTTCTGAGGGGTGTACCGAAATGGGCGCGGTGGCGCACTGCCAACCCTGCCACTGGGGGCTTCGGTGGAGCTCCCTATGGGGCCACGAAACGTGTGAGGGGTGCCGAAATGGGTGCGGTGGCACCATGCGAACCCTACCACTTGGGCCTCTGGTGGAGCTCCCTTACTATGGGGCCACGAAACGTGTGAGGGGTGCGGCGAAACAGAGACATGCGAAGAGCAGAGGCGACGAGGGGGGAGGGAGGAGGGGGAGGAGGAGAGGAGAGGAGAGGGAGAGGAGAGGAGAGGAGGAGAGGAGAGAGAGAGAGAGAGGAGGAGAGGAGAGGAGAGGAGAGAGAGGAGAGGAAGGAGAGGAGAGGAGAGAGAGAGGAGAGAGGAGAGGAGAGGAGGAGAGAGAGAGAGAGAGAGAGAGGAGAGGAGAGGAGAGGAGAGGAGAGGAGAGGAGAGGAGGAGAGAGAGGAGAGGAGAGGAGAGGAGAGGAGAGGAGAGGAGAGGAGAGGAGAGGAGAGGAGAGGAGAGGAGAGGAGAGGAGAGGAGAGGAGAGGAGAGGAGAGGAACGCCGGGCGCTATCTGATCAAGACGAAAACCCAACACTAAAAGATGGTTGGGAAAAACCACTGTTGGCTGCCTGTCCCATGTTCTGCTCCCAAGATGGCCCAAGAGGTGCCAATGTGCTGCCGAGATCTCCCAGGATGGCCTCCGCGACCCCAAGATGCCCCTACGAAGGCCCCCGAATGAGCGTTGTAGGCTACAAGATAGCCCCAAGATTGCCCAGGATCGCACCGAAGGTAGCTCCAAAGACCCTGAGATGCCCCCGAGACGGCCAAGATCGGGTAGACGTAAGACTCGGGTTCTGGGACCTCGGGTTGGCCTGACGGGGCCATCATGAAAATGACGAGGCCTAGTCTGAAATGTGATGCGAGCTCCCGCTGCAGACATCCCACGAAGACTGGACCGCCAAAATCCAGGACGCGCTCGTCAAAAAGCGTCGGCGAACCAGAGTTCCAGTATACTCGAGTCTTACGTTTCCCCGACAGGAGGCGACAGGATGGCCTGCAAGACTTCAAGAATCTCGTTCCCCGGGGGGGGGGGAGCTCCCCCAGGTGGCGCGCGCCCATGCTCGTGAGATCACGCCTGCCAGGGAAAGGCAGGAGGGTCGGCGTTTCCGGCCGCTCCTGGGAGGGAGAGGAGGGGGAGGATGAGGAGGAGGAGGAGGAGGAGGAGGAGGAGGAGGAATAGGAGGAGGAGGTGGAGGAGGAGGAGGAGGACTTCCAGGACTTCCGCCATCACGTAGTGATAACCAGGCTAAGTTCAGCACTTCGGAAACAGGCCGCGACAGGCTCCCAGCTGGCCACCAAGATGGCCCCCGCATGGCTCCAGCATACCTCAAGACTGCCCAAAGACGGCACCAAGACTCATCCACACGGCCTCCAAACCCTGCAATACGACCCCAAGGCCCGCGAAGGACTCTGCCAAGAGGGTGGCCCCCAAGAGGCCTCAAGAAGCCCAAAAGAGCTCCAAGAGAGCCCCAGAGGGCTCCGGAAAGACCCTGCACGGCCCCACGCCTTACCGCCCAACGCTCACTGCATGGGAGCGCTTGCCAGTTCCCCCCGGGGGGCCAGACCCACACCCAGATCGAGATGTCCCTGCTCGTCCTGGCTGGTTCCGCTTCCTGCCATTCCTCCTGCTGGCCCTCTCCTTTGGGGGTCGGTGGAGTGGCGTTGGGCCTCTTGATCCGCCATGCCACTGGGCTGACCAGGATGTGGGCCCAAGACGGCGTCCAAGACGATAGTTCCACAGCACTTCCAACAACCTGTCGACACCGATGCTCGCTCCACTTAGGCCCGTCGTGGGACCCTTCTTGGCCTCTGCATCCACCCGCTAGGCCCCATTAAACGCCTCTTCGGCCCATCGACGTCGACCAATCGAGCCACCCAATGCATGGCAAAGCCCCACGGCGTTTAATGATGGTCACTGGACCGTCGCCTGAGAGCATTTCCTAATATGTGTTCGGGTTTTAGACATGGGAAGTTCTACACAGTTTTGAACGCACTCTGGGATTCCTTCTTTCAACGATGATGGGCCCAACCTGGACCCCGCATCGAAGGCCAAACTGGGCCTGGCGCGGGCCCAGGTTGCATGCATTTGGGACCATGCTCGGGACGCTCGCGCGTGGGCCATCTAAAAGCCAAGCCGGGCCCCCTCGGGCTCGTCTTGGCAAGTCTCTGAACAATATTCAATCGCTGATTCTTTGATCAAATTCCTCCCAGATAGCGAGCGGTGAACGCGAAGCGTTCTGAACCATTGGGAAAAAACCTTACGTGTTAGGCCACAGAGTGCCCTTCAAGGAGCTGCTTTCAGGCACTTCTGTGAGCACGCGCTGACATCGCGATTACTGGCCGAAAGCGGCTTGCTCTAATGAACGCGTGAGGAAGCATGGCGGCGGAATGTAGCCCCTCACGTGCGACGAGCGTATGCACATCCACGCCCTCGCGATCTTCGGGGCGCGATCCAAACGCGGTCGCATGGATACGTTCCGCGCGGGACATCCGCGACAAAACGCCCCGTAGCCACAGGGTCGCGGCCCAGGGGGCCTGGCCCCACGGCCGTGGATACGGATATGTTTCGCGTCCACGAGCCCCGAGATTTGCCCAAGAAGGCCTCAAGACAGTCCGAGAAGGCACTTAGGAGGGCGCCAACGAGGCCCAGGCAGGCCCCTGATACAGGCACCAGGACAGCCATTCTGGGCCCACGACGCCCAAATGGACTCCCCAGAGGGCCAAGATGGCTCGGGGAACACACCGACAGAGGCTGGGGGAACTCCCTGTCCGACGGCTTCTTATGGGACGCACAGAGACATACCAATCCTATATGTCCTCCTTGGAGGCGCGCGTCCGAACCGAACATGTAGTATACCCAACTTGTCGTATGTCGTTTCCCGAGAGGTGTGGCCAGAAAGCGCCCGCCACGACGCATATACTATATCAGCTTTCTCGGTGTGCGCGTCGCCCCTGGGGAGGGCGACGCACATATAGTAAAAGTATGCTGGGGTGACGCCGATCAGGTTCCAGAACGGCTGGGGTGAACACGCAGCCGACTAGCGTGGCCGCTCCTTCGCTCGACATGTCACGACACGGGCAGATCCTCAGGCAGGGGGCGGCGGAGACTCGCTGCAGGCGCCTCCGATACTCAAGGACTCACTTACGCATTACAGGATTCCTTGATCATGCGCACTTCCTTAGTGATCGCAGGATATCCAGCACTAAAGAGCTGCAGTATCTCAGCCTTCGCTACGCCTCTGGCTACCTCCTGCGGCTGAGCCATCAGATGCTTGCCGAGTTCTCCTCCGCTCCCTCGCTCTCGTCGGCCTTCGCACCCGAACCCCCGCCAGAAAGTAAGCGAGCACGACGGCACCGACGATCACCGCATTCATCCCCTGCGGCGCTTGAAGCGTGCCGATGGACTCGCTGAGCTGCTCGGCAGCGGCAGCAGAAGATGCTCCCGAGCTGGCGCCCAGGCCGGCGCACAGGGGAAGCAGCCCGCCGGCGGTGGGACGCGGGACCCGAGCCACCAACCACGCTGGTGCGGAGAGGCGCCCCTCCATGCGGCAGTACGAAGAGCCGCCGTGTGCGGGTGGGGGTCCAGTGCAAGAGCCGCCCGAGCCGCCCAGCCCACCCCGAAAAAATCCCCAGCAATCCCGGCGCGGAGAGGCGCCCCTCCCACACCAGCCCTCCACGGAGAGGTGCCTCTCCGTGCGCCCAGACGTCGGAGACACAGAGACCAGATGCCGCGCCTGATCTGCGACCCCCCGCCCTGCCGCACGACATCTCACCCACGATCGCTCGACGCGGAGGTCCCCATATTTGCACCTCAGCTCCTGGCGCTGGCGTCTGCGAGCGCGTGGAATTCGCCGGCCCAACGGGCCAGGGCGTGCTAAGATCTCCGGTACCTGGTTAACAGTATTTCTAGTTCGCGCGCGCGGGGCGGCCCCTGGGGGTCCCCGGACGAAAAATACCCCGGCAAGGTCCCGGCAAGTCCCCGGCAAGTCCCCGGCAAGGTCCCGGCAAGGTCGGGCCAGAGATGCCGGAGTTCTGTTTCGGAGTCCAAGAGGGCTCCAGATCGGTCCAAGAGGGCCCCGAGAAGCTTTCTAGACGGTCCAAGAGAGGCCCGAGACGGCCAAATATCGCCCGCAGACGCCCCAGATGGCCCCAAGACAGCCCAAGAGGCCCCCAAGACGCTCCAAGGGCCTTCCAAGAGGCCTCCGAAGAGGGCCCCAAGTTGCCAAAATCGTTGATTTTCATTGTTTTTTTCTATGTTTTTTTACGTTCTGGCCTTTTCGCTTCCGGACGCTCCAAGAGGGCCCAAGAGGCCTTCAAGACTGCTCCAAGACGGCCCACGAGGCTCCCAAGACGGCCCCTGAGCGGCCCAAGAGCGCCCCCCAGACGGCCCAAGTGCTGCCCAAGGCGGACCAAGAGGCCCCAAGACGGGCCCAAGAGGGGCTCAAGAAGGGAACCGAGAACTGAAAAATCGAGCCCTCCGCCCCAGAAGGCGCCCAGGACCCCGAAAGAGGCCCCAAGAGACTCTCCAAGACACCCCCAAGACGCCCCAATAAGCTCCCGTGAGGCCCCAAGAGGACCAACAACGTCAGGCCCCAGGCCCCAAGAGGACCAACAAATACCGCCAAGAGCCCGCCGAAAGCCCCCCAAGAGACCGTCACGAGAGCTCAGGAGGCCCCCTGGAGGCCTCCCGAGTTCTCCAAGAGGCCTACTAAGAGGCGCCAAGAGGCCCCAAACGGCCCCACCGAGGCTCCAAGAGGCCACGAACGCGCAAGCAAACGCCTGCGATGGCACAATACGGGCCGGCGGAATGAGCGAAGCGATTAATAAGAACCTTGGCCTGTGGCGACTGAGCGCTCCCTGGCGGCTCCTCCTTGGGGTGGTCGAGTGCTACGACTGCAAAACCGCGGGAATCATGGAGCTCTCAGAAAGGAGGGAGGAGCCTGGGCCACCAGGTAGGCAAACCGCCTCAGGCATCCCCACAGTCTGGGCACCAACTGGCAAGCAAGTGTCACACCCCCTGGCGGGTCCCCTTAGAGGGCTACAACAAGCGCCTCGCTCGGGACATCCTCGCGATCTGCTCTGAAAGCGACGGAACCTGGGCCACCAAACAGGCAAATCGCCTGAGACATCTCCACACTATGGGCGCCAACAGGCAAGCAACTGTAACACCCCCTGGCAGTTCCCCCTTGGGGTGCTACAATAAGCGCCTCGCTCGGGACATCCTCACGATCTGCTCTGAAACGAAGGAGCCTGGGCCACCAAACAGGCAAACCGCCTGAGACGTCCCCGCAGGCTGGGCGCCAACAGGCAAGCAAGTGTCACACACCCTGGCGGCTCCCCAATTGGGGTGCTACAACAAGCGCCTCGCTCGGGACATCCTCACAATCTGCTCTGAAAGCAGTCTGGGCCACCAAACAGGCAAACCGCCTCAGGCATCCCCACAGTCTGGGCTCGAATGGGCAAGTGTAACACCCCCTGGCGGCTCCCCCGTGGGGTGCGACAACCAGGCACCAAGCTCAGGACATGAGCCTCATGATCTGCTGTGAAAGCGAAGGAGTCTGGGCCACCAAACAGGCAACCGCCTGAGACGTCCCCACAGTCTGGGCGCCAACGGGCAAGCAAGTGTCACACCCCCTGGCGGCTCCCGCTTGGAGTGATAAAGCAAGCACCTCGCTAGGAACTAACGGTCAAGTTTAATACCACTCTGGGGTGCCCGCGTATGAGCATTCCCTGATGATGAGTCCACATGAAGTGCCCGAGTATGACTGAACAGCATGCAAGTAAATATGAGCCTGAGTGAGTCTCAGAGTGAGTGGGACTGAGTGCGAGTCTGAGTGCGAATGAGGCTGAGTGTGAGCGAGTCTGAGTGTCAGTGAGCTTTTTTATGAGCGAGGAGGAAGGAAGCCGGATGGACGACGAGGAAGGAGGCGGGAAGGAGGCGGAGGCGTCACACGAATAACAAGAGCCCCAAATCTTATAAGATGGGCAAACGACAACGACAACACACACACACAACATAGCCTGACGAAGAACCCAACCGTATGTAGTTGTAGGCACCGTCGCTGTATGCACAGCCGTCGTCGGAGCTCCCTATGGGGCCACGACACGTGTGAGGGGTGTGCCAGAATGGGCGCGGTAGGCGCATGCCAGCGCTGGCACTTGGGCCTTCGGTGGACCTCCGTATGGGGCCATCAAACATGTGAGGGGTGTGCCAAAATGGGTGCGGTGGGAGCATGCGAGCGCTGGCATTTGGGCCTTCGGGGGAGCTCCCTATGGGGCCACGAAACGTATGAGGGTGTGCCAGAATGGGCGCGGTGGGCGCATGCGAACGCTGGCATTTGGGCCTTCGGTGGATCTCCCTATGGGGCCATGAAACGTGTGAGGGTGTGCCAGAACGGGCGCGGTGGGCGCATGCGAGCGCTGGCATGTGGGCCGTCAGTGGGGCTCCCTATGGGGAAACGAAACGTGCGAGGGGTGTACCAGAATGGGTGCGATGTGGGCGCATGCGAGCGCTGGCATTTGTACCTTCGGTGGATCTCCGTATAGGGCCACCTAACGTGTGAAGGGTGTGCCCAAATGGGTGCGGCTGGAGCATGCGAGCGCTGGCAGTTGGGCCTTCCGTGGCGCTCCCTATGGGGCCACGAAACATGTGAGGGTGTACCAGAATGGGCACGGTGGGCGCATGCCAGCGCTGGCTTTTGTGGATTATGGAGCCACGAAAAGTGTGAGGGTGTGCCTAAATGGGCGCGGTGGTCGCGTGCGAGCGCTGGCATGTGGGCCTTCGGTGGGGCTCCTAATGGGGCCGTGAAACGTGTGAGGGGTGTGCCAGAATGGGTGCGGTAGGCGCATGCGAACGCTGGCATTTGGGCCGTCGGTGGATCTCCCTATGGGGCCATGAAACGTGTGAGGGTGTGCCATAACGGGCGTGGTGGGCGCACGCGAGCGCTGGCATGTGGGCCTTCGGTGGGGCTCCCTATGGGGAAACGAAACGTGCGAGGGCTGTGCCAGAATGGGTGCGATGTGGGCGCATGCGAGCGCTGGCATTTGAACCTTCGGTGGATCTCCGTATAGGGCCACCTAACGTGTGAAGGGTGTGCCCAAATGGGTGCGGCTGGAGCATGCGAGCGCTTGCAGTTGGGCCTTCCGTGACGCTCCCTATAGGGCCACGAAACAAGTGAGGGTGTGCCAGAATGGGCACGGTGGGCGCATGCCAGCGCTGGCTGCTGTGGATTATGGAGCCACGAAAAGTGTGAGGGTGTGCCTAAATGGGCGCGGTGGTCGCGTGCGAGCGCTGGCATGTGGGCCGTCGGTGGGGCTCCTAATGGGGCCATGAAACGTGTGAGGGGTGTGCCAGAATGGGTGCGGTAGGCGCATGCGAGCGCTGGCATGTGGGCAGTCGGTGGGGCTCCCTATGGGGCCACGAAACGTGGGAGGGGTGTGTCAAAATGGGCGCGGTGGGCGCATGCGAGCGCTGGCACTTGGGCCGTCGGTGGAGCTCCCTACAGAGCCACGAAACGTGTGAGGGGCCTACCAAAGTGAGCGCGGTGGGCGCATGCAAGCGCTGGCAGTTGGGCCTTCGGTGGAGCTCCCTATGGGGCAACGAAACGTACGAGGGGTGTGCCAGAATGGGCACGGTATGCGCATGCGTGCGCTGGCACGTGGGCCTTCGGTGGAGCCCCCTACGGGGCGACGAAACGTGCGAGGGGGCGTACCAAAATGGGCACGGTGGGCGCATGCGAGCGCTGGCATATGAGCCTTCGGTGGAGCCCCCATATGGGGCCACGAAACGTGTGAGGGATGTGCCAAAGTGAAGGGTGTGACGGGAGGAGGGAGGAGGGAGAGGAGGAGGAGAGGAGGAGAGGAGAGGAGAGGAGGTGGGACGCGGGGCGCTGTCTCTTGAAAACGAAGACCCAACACCACAGGATGGTTGGGAACAACCGCTCGACCCAGACATCCAGGCAGATCCCGCCGTGATGACGGTGGATGCCCAGAGGCCATAGAGGCATGAGAGGAAAAGATGAGCGCGAGAGCAGGTAGGGCGCTGGCCCCTCGTCCAAAGATGGAGGCATCCACATAGGACCAGAACTCATTGGGTCGGAGGGTCGCGCCGCATCGACGATGCACGGGTGCATCAGCGATGCGGCGCGATCCTCCGACAGCATCTGCTCTGGCCCCCTTGGGGAGGGTTGGATAGAAGAGCCGCATTTCGAGTAGGGGATCGACTACGGAATTGATGCACCCCAAAATTGGAATTCTGTCGGATCTTCAAGAAATGCGTATACAATGTTCCGTAGATCTACGAAACATTCTACAGTTGATTTCGTTATAATTCGACCATGCATCAAACATTGGGCAAACCGATTCTATAATCGATCCCCTACTCGAGCACTGACAGGACGCGCAGGAGTGGCGCCGCTGGGGGGGCGCCCGGGCAGGTGACTCCGAAGACCCAGCGGCACACACCGGGCCGAGCCCAAAACAGCTACGGACGTGTGCTGGAGGTTCAGAGATGGGGCCCTGAGGGATGGGGTCCTGAGGGTGAGGTGCCTCAAACAGTGTGAATCGACCTTTGAATCCCTGCCTGCAGTCGGACCTGGGCCAGAAGAACACCCCTCAAGAACACGAGACCCTCCGTCGGCCAAAACAAGAAGAACATCCAAGGGTACCCTACCCAGGATTCACAAGGACATCAAACAAACACGAACAACACGAGGGCACCCTCCCCGAACCGACCTCGAGCTTATACCTCGGTCCGACTGTATAGGACCCTCAGGACCCCATGTTTGAGCCACCGAGTGTGTATATATACATGTGTATGTATGAGTATGTGTATGTGTATGTGTATGTGTATGTGTATATGTGTATGTGTGTATATGTGTATATGTGAATACGTGTATATGTGTATATTTGTATATGTGTATATGTGTATATGTGTATATGTGTATATGTGTATATGTGTATATGTGTATATGTGTATATGTGTATGTGTATGTGTAAATGTACGCGTATATGTATGCATGCATATAGGTATCTGTGCGTGTGTGTATATGTACATGTGGATATGCATGCGATGTGCATGTACAAGGATGTGTGATTGTATATACACATGCATAGTTTTGCATATGTATACGTATGGTTATGTATAGATGGGCATGTGTATGCATTTTTAACATGTGCATGTACACAGATAGTATTTGTATATGTATAAATATAGATGTATATGGATATGGATATGACAATGCATGTGTATATGAATGTGTAAATGCAAAGTGAATGAATCTGTATATATATATATATATATATGTATATGTGTGTACGTATATGTATATGTGTATGCGTACGCATATCTGAATATGCTCTGCAAAGTGCAATGCAAGTGTAAATATGTATGTATGCGTACTTGCATATATAGATATAGAGATATACATATACAGATGTCAACGCATGCTATCGCATGGCAATGTAAATAATAATGGATATGCATTTGCGTGTGTAAATGCGTACGTGCATGCAGATGCATTTTTATATGCAGATACGTAAATGTGTGTAGATGTATGTGTGTTTGTGTACATGTATGCATGTGTACGTATATGTATGTGTATGTGTATATGTATGCGTATGGGTACGTGTATACGTATATGAACATGCATGTGTACATGTATATGTATGTGTATGTGTGTATGTGTGTACGTGATGATGCGTGTATGTGTGTATGTGTATGTGTGTATGTATATGTGTGCGTGTGTGTGCGTGTGTGTGCGTGTGCGTGCGTGTGTGTGGTTGTGTGTGTGCGTGTGTGTGTGTGTGTCCGTGTGCGTGCGTGCGTGCGTGCGTGCGTGCGTGTGTGTGTGTGTGGTGTGTGTTGTGGGTTGTGTGTGTTGTGTGAATGTGTGTGAATGTGTGTGCGAATCTGTGTGCGGGTGTGCGTGTGCGTGTGCGTGCATGTGTGTGTGTGTGTGCGTGTCCGTGCGTGTGTGCGTGTGTCCGTATGTGTCTGTGCGTGTGTCCGTGCGTGTGTGTGTGCGTGTGTGTCCGTGCGTGTCCGTGCGTGTCCGTGCGTGTCCGTGTGCGCGCGTGCTTGCCGTCGGCTCTGCCTCCTCCGCCCCTTGCCCTCCCCTGCACGGCCCTTGGATTTTGCCGTGCCTCGGCTTGCCATCGCTCGGACGTCCAATCCCCGTGCACTGGTGGGGTATCGTGGGTGCTTCCTCTTGCCAGATGGTCCAGGGTGCGCCTCGATGGTCTCAGCCGGGGAAAAACATGCACACGTCCGAGCGATGCCAAGTCACCTGCACTCCGCAGCTCGGCGGTCGGCCGTGTCCGACTCTTGCTGTGACTTTCTGCGCTCTGCTCGCATCCACAGTGTCACTGCTTGACTTTTTCACCGCTGGCTGCAATGCGCTGGCGCATCGGAAGAAAAAGAGAGTGTGTGTGTGTGTGTCCGTGTGCGCGTGTGCGTGTCATGTGTTGGCCCTCGCCCGGTAGAACACGGCCGTTCATTGAGCGCACTCGCCATAGGCGCGTTTGCAATTCGCGCTGGCGCATCCCGCCCGTGCTCACCAAGAGTTGGTGCACACCGACGGATGACCAAAAGTACAGGCCATGCGTGTGACACGTTCCATTCCCATCCCTAGCGCCTGCGATAGCGGTTGCTGCCTAAGTGCAGTGAGCCCAGAGCGCGCGCGCGCGCGAGCTACTATATCTTCGGACGTTTCTGCGCCCGCGCGTGCTCCGCAGACGCTGATGCTGAACGAGAGCCAGACTCCAAAGCTGAAACGTCAACAGCTTCAGGGATCTTGAGCTCTGTGTTCCTGCGGTGATAGGGGGGCCTGGGGCATATTGTTCTGTCGCAGCGGCATGACCAGACCACACAGCCTCTGGGAACTTGCTGTGCGGCCACCGATCGAGTTGCACACGGGACACTCAAGGGAAAGACAGGGACGGCGGCGGAGGAGGGATGCAAGAATAGAGGAAGAGAACACTGCATTGATTTTCGGATCTCCGCGTGAATTTCTTGGATCTGCGCTGGACTCCCCTCCCTGACACGCGGAGCGCGCCAGGGGCGGCGCCAGAGGCGCCGCCAGGGGGGTCCGGCGCCAAGAAATCTGTGCGGGCACGCTCAGAACGTGAAGCACTCGACTTGTCGTGCTGGCAGCCTGAGGCTTCCGCCAGGGAGCCGCGCGACGGGGCTACACCAGACCGCAGGGTATGGTGGCGCGCACTGGGGGGCAGGGGGAGGGGGGAAGGCTTCTTAGAAGGAGGCTGCTTGTCAGAAGGCGCCGGCCTTACATCGATAGATAAGGCCCGCGCATTCGCAGAAGCGGGGGTGCGCTTAAGAAGCCTTCCCGCTTCCCCCTACTCCCCTCTGCGCGTGGCCGAGTGGTAGGAATACGTGTGGAGCAGAAGGACACTCAAGAGGCGCCATCTGGCCTCATCCAGGTGCTTGCGCATCTGCTCCTCGTCGTCGCTGTAGGTGAACCATGTGTAGAAAAAAGCGGCGCCTGCGGCTCGGGCCCCATCCACCCCTCTTCCGTATGCCAGGAAGCTGGAAACACTCCTGTGCGCTGCATGTACCACGAGGGTGGGCAGAGGTGTATACAGTCGCTGGCTTGCAGTGGTGGTTTAGACACCGCCATCCTCCACTGAGGCCCAGGAACAATGTATTGGAGGGTGTCTGTGAATATATTTTTGTGGCGTGTCATGGCTGAACTCACACGTGGAACATCTGGAGGCCACCTGCCAGCGTGCCTGCACACAGAGGGGCCAAGCGCTGAAGGGGCATCTGGCGACATGTGTAGGCAGCTCTCGCCCAGGCCAGCCACGTCACATGTATCCAGCGTCCTGGCATGTGAGTCTTTCTTCTCGCACCACCAGACGTGTCGGTATGGCGGGCTAGGCGCTGCGCCTGAGGCTTCTCGACTACTATGCTGCACGATGCGCGTGCACATATGCGACGTAAGTTTGTGTCAACCGCGGTGTCTTAATTTTTCTCAGCCGCAGTCTGTCATCCCGTAAGCGCGGAGAGGGCGGAGGAAGCGGCCCAATTCGGCGCATTGCAAACTGGAGAAATAACCGAAATGGGTCAATGCGTGGATATGCTCAAACATATGTATGTGCCTGCACATGCACATCCATGCATCGCATCTTAGGTCAGAAACCAACTCGTGGATTAGAATCGCCCTCCCATCCTCTGCGCAGCATCTGAACGCTTGGGAAATTACAAAAATCGTGATATGGAGATTGAAATCGATTACGATATCGATATGTCGATAATGAAACCGTTTATGGGATCGACTGTAAGGACGATAGTAAGGTCGATCGTGAGACCGATCGTGAAGTCAATGCAGTGAGATCAATAGCAAGATCGATCGTGAAATCGCTCGTTCGATCTATAGTGGGATCGATTGTGAGATCAATAGAGAAGTGGGTAGTGAGATCGATGGTGAGACCGATCGATAAGGAGATCGACCAACAACCCAGGAACCCAAAAACCCGGGAACCCCGCCGCCCGAGGAAATCGGTCCGGAACCAGCTACCAGGAACCCAGGAACCCGAAACCGGGAACCCAAGAACCTGGCCGCCCACCGAAATCGGCCCAGAACTTTCGCCAAATCTTTCAATCTCCGCTAGGACCCCTTCAGTGCAAGCGCTGATTGGGGAATGATGCCAGCGCGTGATCCCCAGACAGCTGCTTCGCGTAGTAATGCGTGCGAGAATCCCCCTCGCCCTCCTCTTGGCCCTCGCGCGGCTGCATCAAGGCCTTTCTGGGGCTTTCGAACGGGCCAAGCATTTGGGGCCACATTCAAGGACATGGACCAAATCCGCAAGTTCCCTTCTTGTCTTAGCGGCATGATTTTTGAATGATCGATGGAAGCTTGGGGAGGGGGGCGTGGGGGGGGGCGAAATCGAGGCCGCCTCGACTTGTTCGAGGCGTCGGACGTCCCTCGATGTCTTCTTGTTCCACACGGGGCCCGCAGGAGCCCCGACCCGTTCCTGAGGGCCGACGTTTTCCTCCTGAACCGTTTTGCGCACGGTCCTGGGGCCCAGCGAGGGCCCCCAGATGCCGAAAACGACGAACGACTGCGGCCCTGATTGTCCAAGACGCCAGACGTCTGGGAAGGTGGCGGCCGGCGCGGCCCAGGACCCATCCTGCCTGCTGGGGCGCCGCGCACTGCCGCCAGGGCCGCCCACGGCGGCAGCACGACGCGGCGGCGCACGCTGCACCGACCGAGACCGACAGGCCGCGAGCAGCCCAGGCGGGAGGCAGCGACGCAGCGACGGCACCACAGCCGACCGAGCGGAGCCGACCGAACGCGACCCACTGCGACGCAGCCGGGCCGACCGAACCGCGAACACCCGTTCGTGTGATCAACGTCGTCTGGCTGTCGGGCCATCAACTCGGGCCTCTGGCGGCCGTTCGGGACGATTCGGGCACCCCTGGAACGCCGTCGACGAGGACGAGCTGATGGAAAGCGCCCCAGGCCGCA